ATTATAAGAAGTATAAAAAATACGTTTGCTTCAGTAATAAGTAATATGTAACAAATGTATTTTTTATGCTTATTAAATAAATGAAACTTTAAATTGTATAGTGGAAGTATGCAACCCATCGATCTATAAGATTGATGATGCAACCCATTCATCGCATGAACTTTGCCACCCGCCTGCATGGTGGCGTACCAATCGCTTTGAAATTGCGTGTTGCCTATCATTTATCCTTATAAATTAGCCTTCTTCTTTTCTCTGTTTTGTGGTCTCCATATTACTGATCTGTGGTCTTCATGGCCTTGTCCTTGTACCATTCTTTTTATTTGTAAATTTCAATTTCAAATGCATGGAGACTAGATAGACTGTATAGTCTCCATGTTCAAATGTATCAGTTTTTAGGTTATGAATGTTATAATTTTATATATTTTATTTTAGTGGTTTCAAATTACGATTTAAAGTTGAATTTTAGTAATTTTTGTATGTACATCTGTACTTGAATCACCAGCGATCTGCAGTATAAAAGTCCAGTATTCTTCTAAACTATAAAACATTTAAATGGAGAGAGAAATAAAAACCTTTGTAAGCATTATTATGGATAAAATTGCATGCATATTAATAGTTGCCAAATATTAATAAGTATTTTGTTTAGTTAATTTCAGATAACTTATGTAGACGGGCAGGGATTGCAGCTACTTGGCTGCCAATTAATCAGATATCAGTATTTGCTTATGAAAAGAGAAGTGTATCCCAAAACGATATCCCAAGCCATTTTGCATCTAATAATCCTTCTTCGGTATATCATTTAAGACAAAGCATTGTACTGTTTCACTCTATTCTTCGAAAACTTGTTAATGAATCCAATGAAGTATTTTTAACTTTACAAGGTTTAGCAGCAAATAAGAGCCTTGAACAGAAATTAGATTTATTAAAATTCAGTCGTCAGTATCGTTCAATTATCAGAGCATGTTTGGAAAATTTACAAGATGAAATAATGAAGTCTAAAATTGATAATAAAGAAGAACTGCAAAACTACATAACAATCTTTTATTCAGTTGAATGCATTTGGCATTTATGTGAAATTTTGTTCATTGATGTAATACCTGGCAATGTAGTTCTACCGTATCTGTTAGAATGGGTTCGTTTTCATTTCCCGAAACATGAAAGAAATGCTGCAGTTATGCTTGGAGGAGATTTAGTTGGTCTTGAATCAAACCCAGATTTCTGGAAAACTGTGATTGGTTCATTACTGCAGGGAAGAGTTAATGTGGTACGAGCTTTACTGAGACAACATTCTGCATCTGATAGCAGTGCCTTTAAATTGGTGGATCAAGTTTTACGAGCTATGCCGATTTACAGTGTAAGTAATTTATAACATTTCTAATTCAAAAGTGAGTATTGAAAATGTTAATGAGATATTATTACAGGCCAATTGCACTGTTATCGGTATTTTCTAAAATATTTGAAAAAATTATTGCCAAGAGAATCACAAACTTTTTAGATCAATATAATATACTTATTCCAAATCAGCATGGTTTTAGGGCAATACATTCAACAAACACTGCACTACTGGATTTTTTTACATTATGTATATGGTAACTTGGATAAGGGAAATAGTATGTTGGCTGTATTCTTGGATCTGTCAAAGGCTTTTGACTGCGTGGACCATGATATTCTACTACAAAGGGTGGAGTGTTATGGTTTTCGTGGTCAATGCAACAAGTTATTAAGATGTTATCTGACGAGTAGAAAACAGTTTGTTGAATTTTATGGTACTAGATCATCGGACTTAAATGTTGATATGGGTGTGCCCCAGGGTAGCGTTTTTGGACCCTTATTGTTTTTGTTATATATTAATAATATAAATAGTTGTATATCTACTTATTTGTGCACTTTTGCTGACGATATTACAATTGTGTCAACTAGTAAATCTGTTGAAAAAGCAATTAGTGAGTTAAATTTAAACAGAGTATTTATGTCAGTATTTTACAGATTCTAAATGAGTCTTAAATTGTGAAAAGACGTATTGTATGCAGTTTCATACTATTCCAGCAAACTATACATGTAGTCCCCTTATAAAATTAGATAAAACATCAATTCAGCACGTATCAAATTTTAAGCTTTTGGGTATTAACATAGACTTTTCATTAAATTGGAAAGTGCACAAAAATGAACTAGTAAGAAGTGCGCCAGTTGCTGCTTTGCTATAAATCGATTCTCTAAAATATGTAATATAAATGTGGTCAAAACTTTTTATTTTTCAAAATTTGAGTCAGCTTAGGTATGGAGTAATTTTTTGGGCAGGTGATAATACTTCTGTGATCCGTATATTTATACTACAAAAAAGGGATATCCGTTCAATGTATCATCTTAACGATCGTGAATCTTGTATACAAATATTTAGGGAAAAACGTATTTTAACATTGTCTTGTATTTATATTTTGGAATTACTATGTTTTGTAACAAAAAAATATTTCAAGTTTTAGAAACCAATACCTATTTTATGTGATACGGTCTTGATTTGCAATATGATGCCCATCATTTGGAATTGTGTAGAGATGATCCATATTATAATTGGTGCTGTTCTTTATAATAAATTAGAAACTAGTATAAAATCACTAACAAGTTTTAGTATATATGTGTTTTGTAAGGAATTTTCTTTTAGAAAACAGCTTCTATTCGGTTAGGGAGTATTTGGACTTTTAGTGTGTTGTTTTGTACATATCTTTTTTTGTGTGTAGTTTTATTGTATTTTTCTTTTTAAAAAAATGTCTAAAATTTTTTGACAATCATTGTATGATCATCTGGATGAATAAAGATTGATTAATTGATTGATTCCCGAAGCTAAAATATTGCGATTTAGCCAAACTTACCTTAGTCTAAAAGTTGATAGTTAAAGAGATACAGGGTGTTAAATGTAAAATATTTTTTAATTTTTTTTCATTATTTCTTAATAAATGCAAATATCCACACAAATCAGTATTATTCGTAACCTAATTAAAATTACATCTTAACTTGCAATTTAAATTGTATGTACATTTATGTACATTAAAATGAAATTTAATGCCGAGACATAATTTATTTTCAAATGAAAAAATGCATTATATGGTCTGCGTTTATGTGCAAACAAATTTTGTTGGACATAGAGCGCATTGTCGGTATTTAGAGTTATATCCAAATAGAGGGTAGCCAAATCGAAAGCTATTTCAAGACCTTTTTAATCGACTAGGAGAGACTGGTACTTTTCGTCCTAAAAGGAACAACGTGGGACACATCAGGTGCACTATTACAGTAGACCACGAAGAGGAAGTTTTAACTCATGTGGCAGAAAATCCAGAAGTTGGTAGTAGGCAAATAACTAGAACCACCGGTGTAAGTAAAACAACAGTCCTAAAAATCTTCAAAGATGTAATGTAATATTTTGTTGAAACTTCAACACCCTGTATCATGAAAAGTAATGGTTAGGTAAATAAAAAAATATGTAAAATGTTGTAACTGTTTAAGGAACTACCCCTAAAGTACAGCCCATTAGTTTCTGGATGCCCTGTATTTATATATTTGCTGTATTATCATGCACCATGCATTTAGCTTATCAATTACAGGTACTCTGCCTTACAGTACAGTTCTACAAGGAAATGTTCTTTAGCCCATCTAGTCTATTTAAAATACCTTTTAATTTTATTTTGTAGGTTGTTAGTGGTGTATCCATAAACGAATTTAATTTGCAATGGCGACAATGGACGGTCGATGTACAATCAAAAATAGATGCAAAACTCTTTGTTTCTGAAAGATATTTACATTTAATAATGAGGGTAAGTTTCATAATTTATAATTAAAGTCTCCACATAGTCTGTTGAATGGACCTATACTGAGTCAGAATTTGTTATCATTATGCTACTATCACTATTTTAATAAAATTATAATAGCCACTCTAAAAGTAAATACTTTGAGTCTCGATTAAGGGTTGATTAACTAATCACACATAGACAACAAACTGTTATACTTGAATTTATGTATAGGAAATTTTTCAGAATATAACGATGTTGTTAACATTGACCGGGTGTTTAGGACACTTACAAAACACCAAAAACAACACAATTTTTATCTACGAACATTCACAAGTTTAACCAAATGTAAGGTTGTGTGAAATTTACCATATCAGTTGAGGACGTACAGCCAATACTGTCTAGCAGGCGTAAAAGAAATTCAGAAGTATCAGAAGGGCGTATGAGCATACGGCTTTCTGCCATTATAGTTTTGAAAAATTCGTTCATACGCCTAAGTAAAATGCGTTAGAATAGATAGGCCAGTCATTATAGCTTTTATTATATATTATATATTATAAGAGTGTTGCTTATGAATATATATGCCCTTCTGAGATATATTAAGCGAATTGATTAAAAGAGGTCATATGCCCTAAAAACCCAAAACTGACTATAGTGGCTCTTACGCCCTTCTGATATGGCGCCCTCGATATGTGATCCATAGAAAAATTTTCGGATTTATTTTAAAAATGAACTTTCTTCATTAAAGGAAATTCAACCTACAATCGCAGAAGACGAAGTTTTACCTAGAAAAATTTTACATGAAATAAATTTTAATTATTTTAATGAAATTAAAAAAGTATGTTAACAGAAGAGAACGAAATAGTATTATGACGAGAGTATTGAGAAAAAAATAATAGGGTATCATATTTTTATAAAGCTTTTAAAATTTTAATGCGGCTATCTCTCTTTATACAGGCAGTCCTCGTATTTACGGCATGTTCAATTCTCAAAATAAATTACCTAAATCAGAACAAAGTAAGTCGATACACACTTTATTTATAAAACAAATCATGTATTTGGTACATACTGATTGCACAATTGAAAAAAATAGAAAGAACCATAATAAAAACCAAGCCATTGGTTTTGCTTCTTTTTTCTTATTTTCATACATTTCTCGATAACAATGTCAGGAAGTAATAATTTTGTTATTAACAATTTCTTTAAAAATTTGATCATATTCCTTAAAAATATCCATGGCATTCTGTAAATGTCCAAAGGCTTGCAACACTGAGGACCGCACAAGTGATATAGCCCATGACGTATCTCGAAATCATTGAATTAAATTGAGGACTTGTGTTAAAATATTGTTCAACGCAACTCGAAACGATGTAACTCGAGGACTGCCTGTATTTGAATTATCTGTATATCAGTGGCGACTCATTGGGGGCAACAGCAGTGCCAACTCAAAATAATTTAGAAAAAATTATTGCTATGAATATGGGTCCTTTTAGTAAAAGTAGAAGTTTATTAATTATATAATCTAGCATAATACTTCTACATATAACAAATCGAAGGCAGCTTTATTTTCATTTTATGAAATAGAAAACACAGCAAATAGCAAATAAGACTTTATTCCAATAATAGTTGCATCACGCTGTACCCATGGCCATCTATTTCTATATTCAACTGTTCCACACTCTACATAGGATCGGCAGGATGATCATGCATACTGATATATGAAATGTGATTTAATACATTTTATCAAAGATGATAATAATACCTAATCGCCTACAAATCATTTTGATTTTGTGTTCCTGTCAGGCATCAAATAAAGTTTCTAAGAGTACTTAAAAAATAATTGTTTTCTCAAAATTAGAGAAAACAGTACACCGCAAATATACCTAATTCGAATGTGAAATTAGTTTCAAAATTGTTGCGTATTGGAAAAATGTTCTTTTTTTAGTTCTTTACCATGTTTTAAAAATAAAAAAATCTCATTAATTTTTTTTAAATGTTCTCTTTATTTTAAACAATGAATGATTACTATGAATCTGAAGATGTTAGAGCAACCTTGATATTGATTGGAGGGAACGTTTCCAAATGTTTCACCGTTCCAACGTTTCCGAATGTTTCACCGTTCTTCACTGTCAGCCTCTTCAGTTAATTCATTATAGTATAGTATGTTTTTTGTATTTTATATTTGGCTGCTTTCTTCAGTGCGAGGTTATTGGTTAGGCAAAACTATTTTCATAAAAATAACCTAAAACCTATCCTTTTGTCGCAAATTAAAATTAATTTTTTTCATTTTTTTCAGAGGTGGCAAAATACCCAATAAATATGCTAAAACTATTCTATGAAACATTCTTAAATAAAAGAAATTTGTATATTTTTATTAGAAATATTTTGAAAATATAGTACCTATTCTGATAGATTTATATAGTTAATCTTTTTTTTTCAGCTTGTAGTGGGAGATGAAAATGCATGGGCAGAAGTTCAAGATAATTGTGAAACTTGGTATGAATTTCTGGCTGGTTGGTTGTTCTATTCAGAGCCGACAGTAAAATCATTTGAACTGGGACTGTTCGCCAAGCGCAGTATAACAAAAATGCAAATGAAAAATCATTTAAAACATTTAGATAGAGTTCTTCTAGCTGCGATGGAATTCGATATGTTTCAAGTAGGTTTTTCATATAAATCACATATTTTCTGCTTTTGAACCTTCGATTTATCCAAATTGATCAATTCAGTATAGACAATGAGAAAAGAGATAATAAATTGGTTGGATCCAGAAAAATAGCAATTTTATCAGTTCATTGATAACAATCAAATTAATCTTGGTGTAAAAAATAAGATGAATAAGTTGCTTCATTTACCCGCCAAAGTTGAGAAAACAATCTGATTAAAATGAAATTTAGTGTGCTAGTACTTGGATGTAGATATCACATTTTAATTTAGGTAGTAAATAAAAAAAATGACATACTTCTTTAATGAAAAACTATTTGAAAGTGCCTGATTCTCAGTAACACTTAAGTTGAAACAAAACATTTATCATTTTAGATTGTCCTCACTATGCAAATTATAAGTATTAGTTTCTCATTGAATTCATTTAATTTATTTTGTAATTCAAATTCGGAATGAAGACACCATAGTAAGGTAGCGCAGCCACATTACGCCCAAGTAAACATTGAACATTTTTTTATAAATAGTGCTTGCGATAATGTATTACTTTGACAACTGACAATGTAAGTACTACTACACCATACCACCAATCAATACAATTATGTATAAGCTTTTGTTTAGAAAACGGAACGGAAGTGTTATAATTCAGCCCTAATATTTTTATTTTTTAATTATTTATAATTATAATATTTAAATTCGTTCTTATTACAGATATCTTCACACACCTCGTGCTGTGTGTTATAATGTATTATTATACATAAATGAAATGTAGTGTATCAATACAAACTTTTATTTTCTTTAATTTCTTTGTATGTTATGAGGGGCATTTACTATCCTATTTTAAATTTGTCACTAAAAAAATTATTTTGTCATTTGCTAAATATATTATGCCAATACCAAAATTATTTAAATTACGTGTCCATTCATAAAAGTGCAGAGTTACAGGAAATTATTACTCAAATTTTGGGCGTTGGAAATTTTCTATGCTAACTCAAGAGATGGCGCCACTGAGTCTCGTCACCTGTGTCACCGCATATGTGTTTATCGTAGTATCGGTAGTAAAATTGATTAAAAATTATTTGAGAAATAAAATGTCACAAAGCAAACTTTCAAGCTTGGCAATTTATCAATACAAAATTAAGTAGCCAGGACTTTAGATCTCAATAAAATAATTTCATTGTTTGCCGATCAAAAGGTAAGAAAAATAGATTTTTTTTCAACATAAATACATTAGCATTAGTTTTGTATTTGTGTTATTACATTTGTTACCACTTACCATTGCACTTACCATACATTTTTTGTGCAATAAAATTGTTTTTCAAATTGAACTTTTTTGTGAAATGATGAAGAGGGGCCCACTGTGGTCTTGCACCAGGGCCCGGTTTTGACTTGCTATTTCCGTGGTCACAATTTACATAATGATTTTTTTGTGAGTGAATTATTTGTTATTAAAAATTTTATTCATTTTCAATCATTCTTATGTAACAACATTCAGTACAAGTTTTTGAAATACCCAAAGCAATGTTTTATCCTTATTATCAAGTAAATCAAGGTTTTAATGGCAGAGTCGAATTTAATCAGTCACATTATATAGAATGTGAAAAATCCGAGACGAGTCCATTATTTTTTCCTATAATTGAATTATTTGTAATTAAAAATTTTGTTAATTTCCAAAATAGTTTTCATGAAAGAATACCTATGTAAATCAGATTTGTATAAAAAAAATGCATAGACGATTAATAAAATAATTAATTTTTCTAAAATCATTAGAAATCCTAATAAAATTTAAAAGAAAAAACTGAAAAAAGCTCTGATAAATCTAGAATTTCTAGTCACTTTCAAAAAGAAAATATAATCATATTTGATTAAGACTGGAGTTATTTTTCTAATGTATGTGTAATTCTTTCAGTTATGTATAAAAGTGTACACAGAAGTGCTGATACACCAAATTTCATTTGAATCGAATAAAGTATTTTAGTATTATTTGGAAAAAAACGAGAAGTTATTGCCACCTTTCCATTGGATTCCCGTCCGGAAGATGTTGTGGCAGAAACGTCGGCTAGCACACAGTCGGAGCTGGCCGTGCAGTATTTAGAACTGTAAAGATCAGGGCGCCAGTAACCTATCAAATACCCACGTTTCTCAAGTCACTCAAAATCCGGTTACAAAATTTTAAATTTAAAAACTTTCTTGGATGCTTATGCCAAAACCAGAAAAAAACCACAACTATTAAAATATTCAAAAATATAAATTTAATAACACGTTTGTAGCATCAGAATTAGATCTCAGTTTCAACAATGAAAATTATAGAAACCAAAAATATACTTGTGTGAAGATTCAACCAAATGACAATAATTATAAGTATAAATTTAACCGCTCGTGATCACGGGTGACGCACAATAAAAAGATATATTAAAAATATATATATAAATAGGTGATAATAATTTTTGTAATTTACTTATATAAAAAAACAGTTGTAGAAAAAAACATACGAGACAAAATTATAGTTTCATACGCACATATATATGTATAAAAAAAACGATAATAGACGTGTATCAAGACAAAATTACGATAAATGCCTTCATCGGTATGAATTATCACTCATCAGATCAAAAATAGTACGTATTTATATATAGATTCAGAAAAGTAGGGCTAATAAATCCAATATAACTCAAAAAGAAAAGATAACTAAAACTACAGTTTATCTGTGGATGTTCAACGTTGGGGTACAGTAAAATGGCGGAGCAGTTTGATGGGACAGCCGGTATACTACAACAGCTCCCAATTTTCCACAATTTCCGAGACTTGTAAGCCAATCAGCCAGTATTCACCTTTCTGCCGCAACTATTAGGTAGAAAGGATGCACAATGCACCAGAATATGCACCATGTGCTGAAAAGCCCTAAAATCGAGATTTACACCACTGTTAAGGTCTAGTCGATCGCGGAAAACAACAAATATTGACTTACGTGGTTGGAGGGGTGGCTTGGTAGTGAGCTATATACATATAATAGCTTGTATAATTTATCTAGGTGTTGAAAATGTGGGCAGATGTCTTTAAATCCAGCAATGCAGCCGAAACTATGAGCCGTTAGCACAGTTTCCAAACAATACGGTCACAGTTATAATACAATTTTGTAATATATCCCAAAGGAATACTTTAAAATGTTAATATCGACGAAAATTGCAATAATTCACCTGCTTCACACTTTAATAGCAAACTCTCTTTCTAAGAATAATAAGTATATCGATACGAACGGTTTTTGTGTTTTGAATAGCCGCAAAAACGCTGTTCTATGAATATTCGAGACTACACCAATAATTCTTAACAGAAATAATAAAAGTTAAATAATTTTTTAACAAATAGTATTATTTAATTTTAACTGCTTAACTTTAAATAATAATAATAATATACTGATTAAATTTAGACATAATAAAACTACTCAAATTTATTTAAATATCTCCAAAGGAAAGAAAGGTGAATTTTATGTATATTTGGTTGTATACTACTAGAAGTTGTCTGATTTTGGAGCGGTTTACTCTATAATTATCCAAAATTGTACCAAGATTAAAATTTTAACGTTACATTATCTTCAATTTTATCATGCTAAACAAAGCAACTTTAGATACATATAAGTTTAGTTGTCTTCATAGAACCCACAGGACACTGTATACTTATACAGTGTAGGAAAGCGCCGATGGTCTATCACAAGTTAGGTGAGAGCGATAAAGTAAGACATAGAAATCCATGCGATAGAGAAGGATGGCTATAATGAAGGCTTCTCTTTGTCACCGCCCGTTTCGCCCTTCCACAAATAAGATCCACTTCTTATTTGTGGAAGGGCGAAATGGGCGTTGACTATGATACGCCTTCATTATAGCCATCCTTCTCTATCGCATGGATTTCTATGTCTTACTTTATCGCTCTCACGTAACTTCTGATAGACCATCGGCGCTTTCCTACACTGTATTGTATACTTATAAATTTTTACTAATCACTACTGTACACTTATAAATTCTTACTAATCATTTATAAAAGGGTATTATTTGGTAAACATGTTTGAATGATCCTTGCATGATGCTTAACTTTTGTGAATTGGGTAAAATGTGCTTTCGTTAATTATAATTAACGTGACCGTTTCAAAAAAATCATTAAATTTATATTAAAATCGTTCAAATCAACAAACATTATGTTACTTAAGAGTATTATTTTTTTTTATTTGGTTTGTATAATCTTTAGCAACACACTGTAATATCTTCTGCTACCCCTTAGGGGATCGCTACTCATACGTTTGAACAACTGCTTTATATTATGGATACTTAATTGTTTCTTTCATTGTATACAATCTTTTGATTTAGGTTATAAAGGAAATTCAGTATATGACTGAAAATGGATGGTTTGTCAGTCATTTTACAGATCTGTTATATCATTCAGGGCGATTGTCAACTTTAGAGAAAGAAGTAAATAATTTGTAAGTATTACTGAAAATAGGTAATTTTATATATATTTTATAGAGTGACTCATATGTGTTTCGTGAAGTGGTAAAACTTTCTTATTTGTAAAATTACGAAATAATAAAAATAAAATATTACTATTTACTTATTGCACATTATTAACAAATGTCTTATTTTCATATATTAACACGTCACCTCACAACACATCAGAAGCGCTGATTACATTATTTTGACATGTTATACTGATATTTTAGATGCATTTAAATAAACATAGATGGTGATGTCAATTTTGAATAATTACTATTACCTATATTAGTATAATTAAAGAAAAGATAATTTTCTCTTTGAAATGAATCAGTTAGATGTTGAAGTGGAAATGATAGTTCTATATTCTAACAATGTTTGTGATTTACAATAATCCAAAGAAGCAAGCTAGATCTGAGAAAGGAGCACACGAGTTGGATCAGTTTCAAATCAACTTTTGAATTTTAAATGTGTAATGGTATCATTGGTACCTACAACTAATTTAATATGAGATTGAAACCAGTATGAAAAAATATACAGGGTGTTTCGCAATCTGATGACTTTTCATTTTTAATTATTTTTATTTTTTATTATTTAACTGTGTGTTTTTGCCTGTTTCCATAGATAGACTTATCAAGGGTTTATTTCATAAATTTTTTTACAGGTGGCAGAATACTTAATAAATGAAAAAAGTCAATAGTTCTGTTAATTACTATTTTTTTTGTATTAAAATTGTTTTGCTTCATTTTTCATATTTTTGTATGTTTATTGATTTCTTAAAATCAATTGGATTTGGTCTTCAAAAGTGTTCAATGTAAAATTCCTCTAAACCAATAAAATAATAGGGAAGGTAGGATCTATACAAAAATGTGTTATATTCCTAATATAGTTATTTAAAGCATAATCAAAATGAATATATATTTTCATTTTATTCACAATATTATCATATTCGTGTTATATTTATATGAATGAATGATTGAGTAATCATTAAGGATTTGTCAAAACGTTATCTATTAATTCCATTATCTCAATAGTTACATTGTAAGTGTATATTTTTATTGTTGTAAAATGTTTAGTAATATTTAATTCTTTAATTACAATTTTATTTTCCCGCTCCTAACCATTTTTAAGAGCTTGATTAAAGTTTTTTCCCATCTCGCATAAGAGCCTGTGTATAAGAGCATAATTTTTAATATCATTTTTCAAAATACTGTATTGGCAATATATTTGGTATTTTTACATGAGGCAGTTTGCATATTTATTAACAGATTTCAATGATTTTGAAAACTTTCTTATCATTTTTTTTCAGTATCGAACCTCCTTAAATGAATTGTTTTCTGAATAAAAGTAAATATCATGCTGTTAATGTACTTCAAAATATTCTTAGCACAAAATATGATTATGCTTTGTAATAAGATTCAGTTTTATTAGCTGTAGTATAACATTAAAATATAATAATTTTGTTTGCTTTTGTTTTGCAGCTCTGCAGAAAAATTACGTGAATCTTTCATACTAGACTATGGTGTTACTCTAATGGGGCACAAATCCTTATGGCAAGTTGGGCTTAGCTATTTGGATTACTGCCCAAATGACGGAAATGTTGCTATAGAATTATTATTACCCAGAATCTATATAGACAATGAGGCCAAAGCACAAAAAATTGTTTACGAGGCCAAAAATAGGGAACTTCATCACATAGGTATGAGATTAGGAATTAAAAAAAAGAAAAAGTGTATATTTATAGATCTTATACAGAATTTTATCATAAATAATTGGACTCATAGATTTGAATCATTTACAATTCAAAAAGAACCATTTATGGACTTAATTCAAATTAACTGTATTTTTATTTTTCATCAGACCTACACAATTACGATATGGAATATTGCAACACCCCGTAAAGCAAAGTTATTGAGAATCTTGTAATCAAAGTTAGGATCACTCCTTAGCAAAACTCACCAAACAGACCAGGAAGGTCTATTAAAAATTCTATATAAATGTATCCAATTCTGATAAGAGATGTAATAATTTACTTGTTATATTCATTTGATTTAGTTTAGTTTATTATTTTAAAATTTTTGTGGGCAAAGTTGTGGATTAAACTGCTAGTAGTCACTTGTTTTTCCACATAGTTGACTTACTGTATATACTACTCGTATACAAGGTGTACGTGTACAAGAAACAATCACAGACTCCTTGACTCTAAATAAGTAGATTAAGCCCAATTTACCTATTTCCAAAATTGCTCCGTTTAGCCACTAGAGGACGCCAAAATCCGATTCAAATTTTTGTTTATTGTGAATATCTTAAAAACGACTTAATCGATTTTGACCATTTTTAGGACAGAGTTAGGTCTTTAATTGATGTCTTTTAATGTTATTTAGAATCATTTTCAATGCCTACAAATATAAAAAATCAGATACATATTTTTTTTTATTCCCTTGTACAATAACTCCCAATTTTTTTTTGTTACTAGTTGACTTTGTTTAGAAACTTTTTTTACTCTAGCAAAATTTTAATCAGATGAGTAGTTTAGGCAGAAAAAAATAATTTTCTGCATCATAATTCATTGTGCAACAAATAACGAAGTAGGTACCAGAAGTTGACTATGATATTTTCAGGATAAACTGAGAGAGGTTATTTATTTATAAGTAGTCAATATTTAGAAATTTTCAGATCCATTTGTTCATATAACTTTGAAGAGAATAACACAGCAATAGTTTCACTAAGTTTAAATTTTAATTATGATCAATAACGATACAATTCGGAAATTTAGAAGAGGCAGAGGTTCTTACACTCTTTTTCCAACACTGAATGTTTTCTTGTCATTATATCTTGGCTTTATTCACGATTTTCTGATCTCTGCCTTCCAATCTAGTTCTGTTTAGTCTTCTGTTAGCTTCAAATAGAAATATCTGCATACATATTGCAGGTCCTGTGATACTAGACACCTATTTGCTGGACTTTTAAATAATGAGGAAATTTTTGTGTCAAATTTGGTACCACATTTTACAAACTACTCATCTGATCAAAATCTTGCTAGAGTAAAAATAGATTCTAAACAAAGTAAGCTAATGACAAAAAAAATTGAGAGTTATTGTACAGGTAAATAAAAAATTATGTGGTTATATTTGAACGGTATCGGATTTTTTTTATATTTGTAGGGATTGAAAATGATTCTAATTAATGTTAAAACACGTCAAATAAAGACCTAACTCTGTAATCCAAAAATGGTCAAAATCGATAAAGTCGTTTTCGAGATAATCAGAATAAACAAAAAATTTTTATCGGATTTTGGTGTCCTCTAGTAGCTAAAAGGAGCAAATTTGAAAATAGGTAAACTGGGCTCGATCTTATCACTCAAGGAGTCTGTGATCTTCTGTTGTACACGTAATTTCCAAGTATTTTAAAAGAAAATATGTTTCAGTTCAAAGTATATGTAAAGCACAAGGAATGATTTCCATGAAACGAGGTAGATTAGGGAATGCACTTACTTGGGCTTTAAAATCACAAGATGGACCCTTCACTTCATTTTTGGCAGATAAGTTCTTACAGAAATATATTTCAAGTGGTAAACTAGTGAGTACGGACTTCTTGGATAATTTGGGCTCCTGTATGTTGGCTAGTGATCGATTAATATTTTTAGGTACTGTTTTTTTAGTATTCAAAATGAGAGGAAAATATAATTCAACATAAAGTGAAATAAGAATGGAGGTCAACCATTTTTGCTTAAAAAAATTATCAAATGACGCACTTGAAACAGTTGTGATTTCCAGTATCAAAAAACACTTACTTTCAAAAGAGAAAGAATATGGAAAATAATTTTATCAAAACATTGTGAAATGTATGAACAAATTTTTAGGCATCCATACCAAATTTTTAAAAAACAAATAGGTTTTGAATATTTTTGATATATCTACACTTTGTCTAAAGTTATCAAGTATTGGTTGAACAATAGTTACCTGATTGGCTATAGGATGATGAGAAAATATTTTTTATACTCATCTGAACAAATAAAATTATTACAGTAACTAAATCTATTGTGTATTTGTAAATCTTTCGAGTGGGATCTTAAATTTAGAACATGCAATAAATTAAATAGTATAATAAAACCTCGATTATCCGAGGTAACATGGATGACCCTTATCTCGAATGATTGAAAACTCGATAATTGAGATTTATAAATATTTTTTTTATTGTTATAACACTAAAAACTGCACTGTTGGACGTGTCATTATTTTACTAATCAAAAATAATTTATATAAAAAAAGTTGGTATTACAAATTCTTTAATTTTTGCCAAAAAAAACATCTCAATAGGCCTTAATTAGTAAAAATAAAAAATGACTTTTTGTTCAAAAGTACAATTTTTCGTAGTCTACCTTTAAAAAAAAATCTGTCCAAATTCAATTAATAAATTCAACTTCTATCAGGTCGTTCAGGTTTGTAATTTGCCAGTCTGTGTACATACATTGTCTTTCGCAGTTTGCACAATATTTTGGTTTATGTACTGACTGCACGCTAAATATAACCAAGATTGCATGGAACTAATGCATGTATGTAGATTATCCAATCTGCATACCTCATAATTTGCCTATAGTTAATCGAGGTCTTATTATAGAAGCTAAACATATAAGAATGTTATGAGAATGTTATGTACAATACTATAAAGCAAATGTTTATAAAAATAAAGTTATTGGGGGATGATTAGTAAAATGTGAAATTCACTATGTATATGTTCCTCTCTGATATTTTTATTATTTATAAATAAAACATACCAATTTCTTAAAGAAATAAAAAATTTCCTTAATTGTATATATGTTTTAGGAAAGTATTACGAGTTTCATAAATTATATCAAGCTGAAGCATACAGAGAAGCTGCCAACTTATTAATATCTTTATTAGCTTCAAAAATAATTCCAAAATAGTAAGTATATTACGGTGTAAACATTAAATACCAATAATAAATAATATGAAAAAATAAGTGACTAAAATTTAAAACTTGAAGTGGCTGAAAAGACTAATCTAGATTTCATAATTTAAAAACCAGGGGCAATTCTTGTTACAGATTATGTCACAAGAATAAAATGTTAATTCATTTTTTCTGTTTATTTGGGGATTTTGCCATTAATTATTTAAATTTCAAAATTAAATAAACCTTTGCCCCAAACAGTTCAGCCATTGATTGTTTTAAAGGAATTATTTAATAATCAGTGTTGCGAGAAACAACTACACCGCGGGCTATATCCCCCCCCCCCCAGCATTGCTCGCAACACCTAATGCAACAACTAGAATCGCTTGTTAGTCTAACTCACCAGGCACAGACCGGTTTCGGACTGACTTATTAGTCCTCATCAGTGTGTCATAGGTGAGACTACCGACAAACGATCCAGCTGTTATAGTGTAGTATACTCACTACAAAAAGGTACATAGTACGCGAAGCGCAATGGCTCCATCCATTATTTAATGTTTATTTCAAAGACCATTCAAATTTATGAATGTAAATGCCACAGTGTTCTAAGAAAAAAAAATTCAAAAGAATGCTTGAAATATGAAGATGGTACAATGAAAAGCAAACGTTAAAAAGCCGTGCCACCTATATTTAAACAAATTAAGCAATGAACTTCATTGATATAGATCACTATGAATATTAATAAATAATCTAATAATTTTGATAAATTAGGAAGTTAATTTCTAAATTGGACATTTGGCAACCGATAAGATTTTTCCAGAAAAACCAATAAATAAAGAATATAAGTTTTATTTTATTTTAAAGATATTAAACTAAATTAATTATAAAAATTTACTGTAAAAATTATGTTTTTATTTAATTACGTATTTCTACACCACACGTCGCAAGATATTTTTGATTGAGCAAAACTAAATTTATAAAATCAAAATATGCAGTTATTGTATTTCTTTACTTTATTTTCTTACAGCATGCCTACTGAAATTAAAATGTAATCTGAATCCAATATTTCAGTCGAATTAGAGTATGAACGTGAAAAAATTATTAGTAGACATTTTATTGCATTTTATGAGGGGGAAGTATGTATAATGATAATATCAAAAAAGTAACTCGAAAGAAGTGATGCTAAGATGACCAATCTAAATGAGTGGCAAATTTACGTGTTTTTTCACTTTTTTTTACTGCTCACAAAAATCTAGACAACCTATTGTCATTTTATGTTGTATTCAATTAAATTACGTACAATTTAAGGTCTTTAAAGTCATATTTCACTAATTTGCTAACTGTAAAATAAAGGTTGAACGCTGAAGAATGATTTTTCTAAAATTGTACATTATTACATATTGCAAAAAGGGATGGATGTTGATGCAATTTATGGAAAAGACGGTCCAAAGACCAAGATGTATGCCGAAGATCGATCGATTAACTGAAATTGTTGCTCCAGGTATTTGTTAATTAATTTGTTGTTTTTGCAAGAAATTGTTTAATTATTAAACGTCAATTTTAGAAGTTAATATCGTAGATATAGATTCTAATTGATCTAAAGAAACGTATTGAAAACGAAAAATTTGAAAAAGTTGAAATTTACAACTAACAAAATAGGACGTGCAAAACAGCGTTATAAACAAATTGTCTCAGGGTCAGGCAATTGCCGCTCGGGAAGTCGCTGTTTTTGTAATAAATAGAGCTTATTTTTATGGTAATTTAAAAATAAAATTGCCTACGCCTCTTTGTTCCCAAGACAGCTTTTTTTTATAACGTAAGTTGTTAATTTAATTAAGTATTGGACAAATCAGACCAGGATTTTAGACACAATTAAAGAAAGAGTGAAACGTTAATTTTCAGAATGTGGTAGCAGCAGTAAAAATTAACGTTAATAAATGGCCTACACGTGAGAGGGCCGGACTCGCGCATGTGCGTGAACGTTGCTCAATCACGCGAGATTTTTCAAATTCGATTCGGTTCTTTTCCATAAATTTCAAAGACCTCAGAATTCTGAGGTCTTTGATAAATTTCATCAACATCCATTGCTTTTTGCAATAATGCGCAATTTTTGCAAACTGATATTTCCATGTTCGATCTTCATTTTATAGTTGACAGGTAATAGGTGAAAAATAATACCTAGGTACCTTAAATTGGATGGCGTTATGCAGAAAGCTACCAACCCACAATAGTGACAAACCGAGATAATCAACTCTAAAGTTTCTATTAATTTAAAAAATCTGTAGGATGTTTAAATACTACTTTGTAATTTTCTTTTGATTCAAGATAGGTCTTTTGATATTTTATCTATGTTTAAATATTTTATATATAAAATAAAGGTAAAAATGGCGACTTTTTGTGGGTTGGTAGGTTTTTGCATTTTGCAAAACTGGGAACTAATACCAATAATTTTGAATTAAAGCAAAAGTAGTATGAAAAATAATTATTTTTATTTATCAAAAAACAAGATAATGAAATTCCAAACTATTAATTTTATAAAGTTTTTATTTTATTCTACATCGTCCACTTCAAAATCTAAATCTTCAACATTGTAACCCTCAACATCTTCATTTTTATTGGCACCCTGCAAATTTTGATAAAAAGGCAATGCATCTGCAGGAATAAGATGCATCATTTCCTTTAAATTCTGCAATTTCGCATCAGCGATAGGCTTTCCGTTGGGCCACAGTGGTATTAAGTCACTAAAAATTTCTTCGTTACCAGGTCTACCTCGAGAAGATTTTTTGATCGAAATTTTTTGATAGGGTTGTGAAAAATCATGTTGCTGTATCATTAGCCAAAATGGCTCTTGTTTTTCTATTTTGATTGATTGTAATTGAAGAACCCCATATTTGCAGAAAGCTAACAACCCACTTGAGTGCATCTGGCGCTATATT